GTCCGGGAGCCTGGCCTTCCTGCCGGGCAGCGGCTGGCACCTGCCGGCACCTGCCGCCATCCGGAGGGCGAGCCTGAAGGCTCAGGCATGACATTTCTGCCTTGCGAGTAGCTCAGACGAGCATCGTCGCACGGTGCTCAACACCGTGAGAACACAGCGTTAGTGAAACTAATAGCTGCTTGCTTGCTCAGATGACCCTGCAGGGAGAAAGTATCTAAGCCACGACTCTGCGGGAAGGGTGCTGCCACCGCTCCACTCTCTCTAAACTAGTCCTCAATTTCCAGCCGAATCGGTGGGCCTGGCGAGAAGGGGGCTGAGCTTTTAATAAGAAGTTTAGTTTCCTTAAGGTATCCTTGAAGATTTAGGACTGCTAACAGCGCTGACTACTGGCGCTGATGTTGACTACATACACTGAAACAAATGTAGAGTTTATGAATTTTATTATAAAAATATGGAAATTATATTATGCATTTATGCACGGTATATAGATATGTGTGTATGTGCATGTGCACACTTCAAAATACTGTCTTTGCTTTTCTGATAAGAAGTGTTTATTCACTAGCGTCAGATTTATGCGTTTTGACTCTCACCAAGTGTGCTGAGAGTTACAGGAATCTCCCAGGTACTGCACATAATTGAACTAATGAGCAGAGGAAATTTTTGTGGCATCATTTTTTTTTCTGATCACTTAAAGATGACCTAAATTTCCTAGAGCCATAAATTACTACATCTATGTGGACAAGTAGAATATTTTGTTAGTCTGGGACTTTGAATGTGGTGTTTGATAACAGTAGATCATTCAAAATATGAATGCAAAAATTCACACACATTATTATTACTACATTGTATCTGTAAAGAGGTGGTAGCCATCACCTTCTTAATAATGGCAAGGATCATAAACCGTGTTTAAGCTAGCTTTCCCATGCTAAATTCTGCTGTAACTTATTTTTTAAATCTATTCTCAATTTGCTTCATTTTGTCCTCAGGTGTTGAGTGGGGTTTGGTGTTTCCCGACGCTAACGGGGAGTACCAGTCTCCCATTAACTTGAACTCACGAGAAGCCAGATACGACCCCTCACTGCTGGATGTCCGCCTCTCCCCGAATTATGTGGTCTGCCGGGACTGTGAGGTCACCAACGATGGACATACTATTCAGGTTATCCTGAAGTCGAAATCAGGTATTTAAGATGTTTTTGTGTGCTCCTGTAAACTAGAAGTCATCACAGAGCTGGTTAGCCTGTATGACCTTAAAGATAGAGCTATCTTAGCTCTGTTGACAGGATACCTTTATATACTACAAAATGCATTTTGGGGAATTGTTTTCTGAAACATTTTTGAAAAGAGGAAAGCATGAAATGACGAAGGTGTCAGTTTGGTTTTTCCATGTTGTATAGTGTTACTGGTACAACCTTAGTTGGTCAAATCGCAGCTCTGTGGAATTTGAGGAAAAGTATATGCAGGTGCACCAACCTGCATTTTATCCTAAATTGTTGATTAGCTTAAATCATTTAGATAATTATAATTCTCTATTTTACTGCTTTATGCAACTAAAGCTTAGGATTTATTGACATAATATGGCATTCAACAGAGACTTTTCAAATTAAGTTTCTCTACTATATTTATACAACAAAAATTTTACTAATAGCAGTCAAAGATCCCTTAAACTCAGCAAAAGATTTAGATGGCAAACAAAGCTCTTAATTTTATGTGTTTTTAACTCCGCTCCTCCCATCTAAACTTGTTTGAGATGGATCTGAAATGTTTTTTAGAAAAGCTCTTGGCAATTACCAAGGAAAGTGGTTTTTGGCTTAAATGTAGTGGAGGAGAAGGCAGAATATTTTAAAGTGAGCATTAGCATCATACTTTTCATAGTGAATAATAACTGTATTTCCCCCTTGGGAAGGATTTAAAAGTAGAGTGTGTTGAAATACTAGAAGGTGCTTAATAAACAGAGACCGACTGTACTCAAATTAATTCTGAATCAATAAATTTAGTATTTCAAGCCATAAAACCTTTGAATTTATTATTAGACAGGGAAGGTACTGATATCCAACTATGGGTGTTTTATTTGTTGTGAATGTTCCTGAGCTTGGATTCAGAATCCATGAGATATAGATTAATGTAGTCTTCCCTGCCATCCCAAATTCAAAGACTGGGCATCACTCAAAACAGAATCTAGGTATTATATGGATGTGGCCAAAGAGACAGCTTCAGATGTACATTTGAACTTCAGATTTTTTTTTGGCAGGGGGGTTATCTATGATGGGACATTATGCATTATTTTTAAATGTGTAGGAAAATTATTGAATGCTGACTGTTCTGATATATAAAAACATTTTAAGGTAATATTGGTATTATATTTTAAGGTGTATTAACATGTTGGCATGCCTTTGTACTTTTGGAAATAAACATGTATCTATACAACAAACACGTATTTCACATCAGGCATCAAGGTGACTGAGTGTTGGTTTTATACACATGGATAAGATGGTTCTTGAGGATTCATATAAGTGAAACCAGAGACTTTCAAAGTGTCAGGGTAAATAGGACCTGGTTAGTGTCACAGTATTACAGGAGCGTAGAGGGGTGACTGAGGACCAGTGCTGCCAGTTAAGGCAGTGTGTCTCCTTTCCTGCTCGAAGATCAGATTTGCTTGCTCAAACTGAGTTTACCATTTTCTCCCCAGTACCTTCTCAGACGTTCACATTTTTCCTTGGTTCCCTACCTCACCCCAAAATAGAGATGATCAAGCAACATTTCAGCCCTTACACCATAAGGTCCCCCCTGGACCACCACGGAGGAGCTGTCTGTGTTTCTCTCTGGGCCTAATTTGACGCACACAATCTAGACCCCTTACTCCTGCCTCCTTGGAGACCTTGCTCCTTCAGATGCCCCGTCTTCTTTCTGCCACTAGACTCATTTCTTCTCCATTGTTTCGTCTCTTTTAATATTTCTCCGAATTAAAAAAAATGTAACAAAAATACCATGTCTGGACTAGTTTGTTTATTTGTTTTCTAACATATACAAGCTTTTCAAAGGAATGATCTGCAAACCCCAAACACTCTGGGCTTTTCATCTATTTAATTTAAGCTTTCATTTATTTAATTTATTTAATTCAAGCTTTGTCTGTATCAAAATAGGATGTAAACTTAAAATAGTTGACCGGTACTGTAATTCTGGCTGCACGCCACCCCTCCCCACCTAGAACTGTTTGCCCTGGCGACAACCACTTTCGACGCCTACCTGTTTCTCTTACTGCCTCATCCACATTTCTTAATAACACATTTATACTGATGTGCTTTGGATGGAAGACGAGGCTAGTCCTTTTATGACCCTTCCCCTTCATGGCTTTGCCCCCCCCGCCATGTCCTTGTCTGCTTAAATTACTGTTGTCATTTAAATTAACTCAGTGTTTGTTTTTAAATTATAACTGTGCAACTGTTCTTTCCAGCTGAGACTATATTCTGTTTCCTTTATTGAATAATGAGGGGTTTCTCCCCACTGGGGTTAGTGTATTTTTGTTTATTTGGTGTTTTGTTTATGATTTCATTTGCAAACTCTCTGACGGTTGGCTGGCAGATCTTCTCCCAGGAGATTCAGAAAGCCCTCTGAAGTCCTTCTGTCCCACCTCTCTCTGAGGCCTCCCTTCCCTTCTTCTGCCCCATGTGGACGGCCAGCTCCTTGGACCTCGAGCCTAGGAAGTTCCTTGGCTTGTCTCCGTGTCCAGGCCCGTGTTTCCTAGATGTTGTGACATCCTTTTTTGAGGTTGTTCCCTCATTTCAGGGAGTTTCTTGGTTTATTCCCTTCTACAGTTCGTCTTCCAGTAACTTCCTGAGAAGAAGGTATCTCTGTGTTGGGTACTTGGTGGCCCCATTCAATCAAGACAGGTGTGTGTTTCATTTCTTGGAACTTTTCTTATATTACTTCATTGTTAAGTTTTCTTTTCTCTTTGTTTCATAACATCTATTTATTTTTTGGTCTTTTTCTTCTACTTTCTGGTAGCTTTTCTTAATTCCGATTTTTCTGTCTTTCTCTTAAACTTTTAATTTCTGCTCTTACATTTGTAATTTTCTAAAAAATTGTGTTTATTCTATGAGTCAAGAAAGACTTTAAAAAAAGAAAAACTGCTACCAGTATTTATTTCCTAATTACAGGATCTTTCTCTATTCTTTCCTGCATTGCTCTTTCCCTGTTCCCTGTATGTCCCTATTTATTCTGGGATCCTTTTTCTGTTTGTTTTGGTCTGGCTCTTTTAGGTTGGAGGTCTTCTCAGATGCCCAGCGATCTTTGGCTCTTTGGTCAAATGTAGGAATGGGTCTGAAAGTCAGATCAGCGGTTCTATGCACACGGGCAGGGACTGAGCTCTGGAGAACGTCACAGTGATGTGGCTATGTAGGACCAGGTTGTGTGGTTGGAGGAGTCTTTGGGGGCGTGTCGGCTTCTCTGGGGAAGAAGGTGTGGTGGCTCCCACCTGGCTGTCCTGCTTTCTGGTTGTTGACCACAGGCAGAGGAGTGTAACCAGGGGGGCACATGAGCCTCCACTGACATTCACTGTCGCCTCAAGTCCAAGTTTACACTGGAGTTCACTCCTGGTGGTGTACTTTCCATGGGCTTGAACAGATGGATAATGACGTGTATCCACCATTGCAGTTTCATACAGAACAATTTCTCTGCCCTCAGAACCCTCGTGCTCCTCCTTGTGTCCCCACCCGTCCCCAGCCCTTGGCGTTTGCTAATCTTACCGCCGTCTTCTTAGTTTTGCCTTTTCCAGAGTGTCATATACTTGGAGTCACACATTTCATAGTCTTTCACTTGGCATCTTTCACTTGGTAATAATGCATTTAAGTTTCCTTGGATGCTGTTTTTTTAAAATAAAAAATTCATAGAATAAGCACAATTCTTTTTTGATTGTTTGGCTTCGTTTATGTTAAAAAATAACACAGAATTACCAAAAAGAGTTACAAGAGTTGTAGCCTAATTTGAGCGCTTATACGTATTAAAGTAAAGCTTTTAACATAATCCTAAGGATATAGTTCCCGTATGCAGTAATCTCACCCGGGATTTTCAGTTTGAGTGTGTCACGGGTGCGAGCCAGGCAAGCCGCCTGCTGAACGTTCCCAGACCAAGGTCACCGACGATCTTCCCATCCCACAAGCAGAGGACCACTTTAAAATTCTTAAAATGCTTTAATTCTGCTACATCTGCTGGCAGTTTTGGAAGCTCTTTCTCCC